ATCTACTATTACTAGTTTAGCTCAAGGAACCATGCCGTCTTTACTGGCATCCATTCCATCAGGATTACAGGCAACCGCCTCAGCATCAACAACATCGGCACCATCTTCAATGCCATTGACCTTATCATCAATGGTAGTTTCCTCACTAGAAACCATGTCGTCTTCAATGAAATCTACATCATCTGGAGTACAAGAAACCACGCCTGCGTCAATCACACCGTCATCCTCACAGATGCAAATGGTATCGTCATCAACGACAGCCTCTGCTAGTGTATCGCAAGAACCAATCTTATCATCTATCACATCTACATCATCTGAAGTACAAGACACTACATCAGCATCTTATCAGATGCAAATAGTGTCATCAAATATGGCAGTTTCTTCTAAAGTAGCACACGACATCTTGTCATCATCAATGACGACTATGGCATCACGACTACAAGAAACCCTACTAGCATCCACCACCCCTTTATTCTCAAAGATGCAAATGGCCCCGTCATCATTGGTAGCGTCTTTTGTAGCACAAGAAACCGCATGGTCATCAGGGACAGATATGTCATCTGAAGGGCAAGGAATGGCATCACCGTTAATAACCTCTTCATCTTCTCAAATACAAACAGCTTCTTCACCAATGGCGGTCTCTTCTTCTGTTACAGAAGTGCAAGGAACGGCATCATCAACACCATCATCCTCTCAGATGCACATGGCCACACCATCAATGACAGCCTCCTCTTCTGTTACACGAGAAACCATTTACTCACCTATGGTATCTATGTCACCAGGAATACAAGGAACGACATCAATATCAGTAACACCATCATTCTCCCAGATACAAAAAGCGTCGACATCAATTTTAACATCCACAATATTCGAGATGCAAGCACCATCAATGTATACGACACCAACAGAATCAATAACACCTTCGGCTTTTGTATAAATATGAATCTATTGGGTGTGTGTTTAACTGGAAAGTACTTGAAAAAGCGCTACGTAGGGTGCAATCCTCTTTGTGTGTATGAAATCTCTTCCATTTGTTTTAAGGTCAGATTTATTTTGGTGTGGATCTTTTATCGATAAATTCCTATGCATGTGAACGAATCTTTCCATTGTTTCTTGTACAACGGTTTTTTAAGGTAGAGTACAATATCGTACCATCGATATAAAAGGCAAACAAACCCTAATTCCACAAAAACAAAAAATGACAAATACGTGAACTCCATCTAGCGCTTGAGACTCTCCAAAACTATGATAACACATAAATACAAAAACATTACGCTAGCCATTTTTTGTTTCGTGGCACCGAGGTAGCCATATTAGTTTTATCATTTGTCAAAACAATAATGGAGAAAAGGAAACATTTTTGAATGGCAAAAACTGCATTTTTTGTTATTCAGTGTATATATAATTTTAATGTATATTAAGGAAAAAAACCATAGTAATTGTTATCCATAAAAGTGTGTTTTTGATTATGTTCCAATTACTAAATGCCATTCAAAGAATATATTAAGGATGCATTATGTACGAGCTAAATCGTCTAACACAATATCATCAAAAATCTTCGACATTGAAAAGACGAATTATTTGTCTTTGAAATTACAAATAATTCGTGTTTTCAATGTCGAATCGTGTACCACAATGCGTTTCAGTGCCATTTAGAACAAAGGACTCCAAGAACGCCGCTAGACATATACCATAAGTCATGTCAAATGGTGACGCTATATTCTTATCTGGAGAGCATGCGCAATAAATACCCTCGGTATAGACTGGAATAACCAGACGCCAACGATTGCCATTCAATTGAGACTTCTGGGGGAATTTCGCCGAACATAACTGATTAGAAATTACAGTAAAAACAGAAACGATTGAATGTAAAGCAGTTTTTATACATTCGTATTACATTACTATATGCGTTGCGACCCATTTGTGTCAATTTCTAGGTCCCAAATATTACCGATTTAGCTCCTTTAAATTATACTTGTATAAACTATTATTTAGACATTTATTCACATGAAAAGCCTATAATTAATAACTCTTTAGAGCATCGGATGGCGGGGATTTAAACGGATTTAAGGATCGGTCGCCATTTAATAATTTAATGTAAAAATAAACAATCTACCCAAATCTTGTCAAAACTTAAAACCGTTAAAAGTTTAAATAAATTAATTTCACATTATCTATTTTTGAACTATTATACCAAGAACGGCAAACTCTTTTATATAAATCTTGTGTAATTATTGTTGTTTGCTGGTTCAAACATTTTACAATTTCGGTGAGAGAAATATGGGGTATTTAACAGTAATAAGAAGAATAAGCATATTAATTTAATATTATATCCTGTTAGGACACAGATATCATTAAAATTGTCGGAGCAGATATGAAGATCCAGTGGTTCCTTAAAATAACATTTTTGAAAGCTTAAAATTTTTACACCGAGAATGGGGTGCGAATAAATCTAAGTTCCCAACACTTAATCTACCATAACATGCGAAAATATAAACTGTTTACGTCGGACAGATGGACGGACGATGGCCAGAATTGCGAAATAAGCCTAATGCGTCAATAAGAGAATCCCATATAGATCATGTTTTAAACTCAAACGGAGGATTGCCAGCCCCCATAATACGCCCGCCAGCATCAAATTCATATGTCTAGCTCTAAATTCGTTGTCAGTACTGTCCCAGGCTCTAAATACTGGCTGAAAAATCCCATAAAAATATGTCAGCCAACACCAGGGTCGAACACTAAAACTCCTATTTTGTGAGCCAGCGCCATACTAGCCGAGGCATCGTATCACACTGATCAGCAGTGAATTTTTGCTATGCCGCTACAATCACTGATAAGGATGACATCGATGCGACTTAATGAGTCCCAAATATTATCTTTTTTCTTCCGTCAAATTAAATTCTAAAACATTTTTTTCATTTATTAGAAAAAATAAATAAAGACGTTTGAATTATTTGTGGGTAAAAATCATTTTCTATTTAGTGTAAATGGGTGTTAAAATAAGTAAAATTCACCATTTAGCCCGAATCAGTAACGTCTTATGTAAACAATGCACGCGCTATTGAACCAATGATTGACGCCGCCTGATGTGACGTCACGTGTCGAAACAGAGAGAGAGAAATGGGGTTAACTAGGTCATTTCGGGACTAACATATGGTGGGAGGAAACCGGAGGATCCGGAGAAAACCCACGAGGTTGGACAGTCGACCCCACTCCTTGCCACGTACAACCGGGGATTCGAAACCACGCCAGTCGACTCAATGACAGACTTTATGATACAGCGCGCGCACGCTAACCATTCAGCCACCCCCCCCCCCCGTGTCGAAACAGTCATCTGTCACAGAGTTATTAAAAGATCTCTGTGAAACAGATTGGCATCGTATGTAACTTGAACGGAATGAAATGAAATGAAATGAAATAGGTTTTAATGTCCTATTTATCTCACCCAGTTGAGGCACTTTCTCGCCCAAGGTCGGAATCGAGTGCGATACCTTCTAGTTAATGAGCAATTTACCTGAATTAAATGCCTTTAAATGAAATGAATCTTATGTGTCCGATTTTCATTGGATTTGAATCCGATCTGCTGTTCAACGCTCTTTCAATAATCGCAAAATGGATAATCGAGACGTTGTTTTTTCTCGTACAGACTTTCGTAATGATGATCGAGGCTAGGTCTAAAATTCAATCGCTAATATCTCGATTGAGAGAGGAGCAATTTGAATGAAATTTTCAGCATATTTCATTTACATTATCGAGTTTTAACTATTATAATGAGAACTGCCAACTCTTTATCTAATCTTCCATAATGTCCTTTTAAATCAATAGGGTTCTTCGTTATGCTCCACTCTGCTCAAGTGAACAATCTAAGTGAGTTTCGAGTTCATAAGATTACATAATGGACAATCCCTCCATGGTTTAAAAGATTTCGCCACAAACCTTGCTCTGTATCGCGTTGACATGTGTTTTAAAAGTGAAAATAATACCGGAAAAGAAATGAAATGAATTAGGGTTACACGTCCTACTGTTCTGCTCCGAACTGGGCGAATGAAGACGGACATACGCCATACAGTTTGTGAGAGAGAGAGAGAGAAATGGGGTTTAACGTCCACTCGACACAAACTAGGTCATTTCGGGACTAACATACGGTTTATTCTTTTTATTTCAATAATTCGCTTCCGCGTAGGGGTCTTTAGCAGTGGGAGGAAACCGGAGGACCCGGAGAAAACCCACGAGGTTGGACAGGCGACCCTACTCCTTGTCACGTACAACCGGGGATTCGAAACCACGCCAGTTGACTCAATGACAGGCTTTATGATACAGCACGCACGTGCTAACCATTCGGCCATCCAACCCCCATACAGTGTGCTATGAAGGAAATTTTGCCTGGACAGCGGCACTGCGGCCAACTCTTATATCGAATGCCAACTGTCAAGAAGTCTTTTACGTGCACGCCAATGTGTACACGGGTCTAGACAGCTGTCCTTGTCAGGCCCTCCGTCCTGCATCACTGACAAGGGGGAACCACGCCGGAAAATCTGGATGAACCTTCTCGGCCAATGCAGGGATCGAATACCCGACCTCCTGTCTACGAGCCAGCGTCTTACCCACTTAGCCACCGTGATCCCCCAAATAATACCGGAGAAAAATCTCTACAAAGCGCGATCGTAATATAACATTCTTCCATATACCCTGGCGAAACATCCCAACATTGATAAGCTTCAACGTAAGTAGGGAGATAACTCTGAAATTTGATTTTGAAGAATTTGAACAGAATTCTTCCTTAGGATCTATTTGTCATTTTAAACTACCGACGAATACTATTTGGTCTGAAGTGAACTGTAAATTAGCCGCAACGTTACGTTGATCAGATATGCGCTACTGTAGACAACCATCACCGACGAACTTAGATGAATACCATTACGGATTTTGTATACATTGAATCTACCACTGTATGGGTTAATGATTAATAAACCTCATTATTTGACTGTAAAGGCGGCAAAAAGTCGTGTGCGGGACATATAATCGCGGATTAAATATTTATCTAAACCAGCTAATAATATCAGTGCCTGATAACAATCTACACTGTTTTTCCTCATGATTTCAATATGAGTTTGTTCAGATTACGGAAGTTTATTGAGCGTATATTAGCTATACTCGGGTAAATAATATCCTCATAAAATGATAACCATAACAACAAAAAGTTTATATGAACTATTATTTCGTCGATTCCCGGCATTTATATAAAGAAAGTAGGCTGATCAATATGGTAAGTATGACTTTTTCTCGGTTTTGATTATTTAATTTAATCCATCTTTAGTATGACACAGAATGGGGAAACTGTTGCAATCTAATAACATTTTTAATTAGCTTTTGCACTACATGTATTAATAATATTATGTTCAACGGTTCTTGTCTGGGATAATATATATATATAACAAAAGTTGTTACTTCCCAGAGGTGCCCATAGAAAATGTTCGGGCAGTGAAAATTAATTGGAGTTTAGCGTACTACTTTTCTGCACCAACCGAGATTATATAGAATAGATGGACATACGGTATGCAGTTGGCTATACACTTGATCTCTGCTTTTCGTCTCTTCGGTACAAATAAACGCTGCCCCTTGTCAGCTCCATTCCCGTTGTACATCTAAACTCCCGGCCAACGCCAAGATCGAAGCCGTGATCTCCTAGTAGTATTACGTTTAGAAGATCATTCTCTGGATGATATGCGCTAATAAATTTTCCTTCGGATTTTTTTGATTCATTGATGATTTGTTGTGTTTCAGTGTGAACACAGATCAACGAGTGAAGATGAATTAAACCAATCTGCCAAGTGGATGACATTCTTCGATGAACCAACTTATGATAACTACCACAGAGATCTGAGAAATGTAAGATTATACAGTATCACAGTACTATGGAATACAAATACTATTTCATTTTGAGTCACTTTTCGACCATGGGATTCTCTTATCTTTGTTTCGCTTAAAAAAAATAGTAAGTTTATTCCATAGAATTGCATCCTGTGTATAATATTCAGTTCAATCACTAAAATATAAAGATAATCTTATCTAACTTTAGGTAGGCTAATCATTAACACAAGAGTCAGTGGGCGCTTAGAAACCACAACCATTAAAGATTTAGGCCAACTTGGGTTGATGTATTGTTTCGGTCACATCTTTATTTCGAAATATTCAAGGAATTTCGCTTTGTTTACTTTTACTAATTTTAGTTTTAGATTTTTTAGCTAACAGTGTCAACACACTGTCAGGACAACACTATCCGGAATTTCTCAACATCTTTATCTTAAGATAAAACATATCAACATAGACAAAAAAACATCAAAACTGACAGCTATATTAATATCGCTATGTAAATTATTTATGATTAAGTTTATATAATCGCTCATCTGAAACTCAATTAAGTATTAAATTTTCAAAGCATGGAATTAGTTGTTATTTCCAATATAGTTTACGAGGAAATAACGGTAAAAAAAACCCCCGAACCTGCTCAAGCAAGGCGTTGACACGGTAAATATTTAATCTAAGTATAAATTGTGTTGATTTTCCAAAACATAAAAAGAAATTGACTTCAAGGAAAAAGACAGATTCTATAGTCATGTTTGAATTTTCAAATAAGGAATCCCACAGGAGTGTAATATACCTGTGCATTCGTCAGTAAAATGCAGCACCATAAAATAAGACGTTATTAATTTGAATTGCTATAGAATTTGCCCATGAGAAAACAATCAATGAATAAATGAAATCTAGGACATTTGGCCCAAACAGCAACGGAGTTCCAACGGTCAGGGGTCTTTTACGTGCACGTCAATGAAACACGGGGATCTCGGTTTAAATTATAAGACACTGTCCTTTGCCAGGCCCTCAATCCTTCACCACCTATAAGAGAAAACCATGCCGGAAAATCTCGAGGAATTCTCTCGCTCAAATCCGAGATTGAACCAGGGATCTTTAGATTAGCGAGCCAGTACCTTACTTACTAAGCTACCGCGGCTCTAACAGAAAAAATAATGTATACATGTAATTGGAAATTGATAAAGGAAAGGGTAGTATAAGACACAAAACTATGTATCTCAACGCGATTTTATACAGTTTATAGACATTGTAGATTCCTATGTAGCTGTTATTTCCTTCTTTTATTTAAGATCAAGTACAGACTAAGTGAACAGTTTGAATCATTGGAATTGAAAGCATCTTTCAAACGTGGACCAACAAATGAGTCTGTGGTACGGAAACCAACATTTGAGGAAAATGAAGAAAATGTTCAAGAAATGAGAAGAGTCCGAAAACGAAGAAAAAAATGTTGCAAATACCTGACAATTCTGATTATTTTTAGTATCATAATTGTAGCCGTGATTACCGCAACAGTTATGTCTGTAGTATCAAAGCAATCTTCTGTACTAGAAGAAACGTCTTCATTATCTAAGACGACGAATTCTGTGGAGAAAGAATCTGTATCGTTTCTAGATTCAGTGGGATTCAATATTTCCTCTTTCACAACGACAACTCTGTCATATACTGAAATCGTGATAGAATCTAAGGAACAGACAATTAAATCATCAGTAAGCACCGAAGAACTGCAAATGACCGTATCACTGATATCTACAACAGAACTAACATCTTTTCCGTCGTCCACAGATACAGCACTATCTGACGTAACAGCATTAGATTCTTCTTTGATCGAAACACCTACGGCATCGATATCAGAATTATCTTTTGACATATCACTGGTATCCACAATGACAATGACATCAGCATTTTCTGACTTAGAAACATCCACATACTCATTTGACAGTGCTAAACAGTCAACATCTGGAATATCGACAGTCTTTTCTGGTGATATACACCCAACGACGCCAACCACACCCGACCCACAGTCTTCAACATCACTTTCATTTATATCTCACTTACAGGCATCTACTGGGTCAGTTAGACATACTGCTTCCCCAGACATACAATCATCAGCAACAGCAGCATCTGACACACAGTGGATTTCGTCAAGCCAAACAGTGCTTGAAACATTAACCGTGCCAGAAACATTAACGCTGCTATCATCCACTGCTGATGTGTCAATAGTCACATCTTTATTAAGTACAGTAGCATTAACTGATCTACAGATACTAAATCCGTCTTCTGAACTATTTGGGTCACATTCGTTACCAATGATTTCATCGGCATTAGCAACACCACAATCACTAGGATTGGAACAATCAGAATTGTTATTATCACTGACGATATCCAAGACGGGTGTGCAAATTCCTCCGTCTATATCAGTGACATCAGCATTAACTAATCTACAAGAAATTCCATCCTCGTCTTTACCATTTCTGTCGCCTTCGTTGTCAATGAGTTCAATGACATCATCAACACCAGAGTTGTTATTATCACTAACGATATCCGTGACTGATGTGCAAACTACTCCATTTATATCAGTGAATTCTGCATGGACTGATCTACACGAACTTGCATCCTCATCTGAGCAATTGGAACAATCATGGACTGTGTCAGATTTACTAGTCCCTACAGGGATACAAATGAGTACATCGTTAGTGATGCCATTACAAACATCATCACCTATTTACCAAACAGCTTCATCTGTTACACCAACTAATGACATCTAAACTACCTAACCTTATGCTGTGCGTTCGCTTGACACAGAGATGAACACCCCCTTCAAATGCCATTAGCCCATTTTGATAATTTTCGCTAGCTTATCTTCAATCAATCTGTGTAAAAGGCAATATTTGCAATCTATCTTTTATTAATTTGTTTTTAACTCGACAGGGTCTGTATAGAGTAGATCCATTAGCAAAGATTTCGGAATGGTATCTTTATGGGCAGTACTTCATCAAATCGAGCAAAATCGATGCGAGCTGTGGGTCCCGACTCATACTTACTGCATACTATATTATATCCCATAAAATTATACGGTTTTGTTGTGAAAACATATTATTGATTAACCACCACGTACATTTCCCTATACATAATATTATGGATATAAATTCAAGTAATCGAATACAACATTACATGTTTTGTTAAAAGATCAAATACAATGTACTTCTTTTAAACGCATTGATGAACCAGCGGTTGCCAAGCAAGATACGCCCACATTTTGCAAGAGATGGATAGAGAACAAGCTAAAAATAACGCGATTTTTCGTACAATCGGGGGCCATAATCCAAGAAGTTATGGTCGTAAATGAGCGAATATCGAAAGGGGTTGAGATCTTTGGGGTATAAAGATAGCAGGTCCACAACCTTGGTATTACATACTTTACACTATTTGCTTACAAGAAGCGACCATTTCGGCTAGCAGATTTTTACGAAATTTGAACAGATAATTGTTGTGTGACGGCGATATATTTAAACGTTTTTAAAATTTTTATACAAATTGTGTGACTTCTAGTGGGCCCACAAGCTAAAAATGCGATTTTTCGAACAATCAGGCGTCATAATCTAGGAAGTTACGTTCGGATACGCGATTATCGACATGGACCAAGATATTTGTGATATAAACATAAATTTAAAGTTTCGTCAGAATCGGGTCGAAATTGTGGCCTCTACCATATATTTGCACTATGTGTCTACGAGGGGCAGCCATTTTGGTCCGATTTTCAATAAATTTGAACTTAACGATCATTAGGCTGCAACCGTGATATCTCCAAAAGTGTTTTTTTTTTTAAATCGGATCAAAATTGTGACCTCTAGACGGACCACAAGCTAAAACCGTGATTTTCGCAAAAATACAGAGCTATAATTCAGCAAAATCGGATCAAAATTGTGACCTCTAGAGAGTCCACAACCTCGATATACCATATTTTTTTTACATTATTTGCGTACGAGCGGCGGCCATTTTGTCTGACAGTTTTGGTCCGATTTTTACGAAATTCGAACTCACCTATCACTATGGTGTAACGGTGATATAATTGGACTTTTTTTTAAAATCAGATAAAAATTGTGGCCTCTACAAGATCCACAAGCTAAAAACGCGATTTTTCGTACAATCAGGGGCCATAATCCAAGAAGTTATGGTCCAATATGCGCGAATATCGAAAGGAGCTGAGATCTTTGGGTAATAAACGTACATTTTACGTTTGATCAAAATCGGATCGAAATTGTGACCTCTAGAGTGTCCACAAGCTAAAAACGTGATTTTTCGTACAATCAGGGGCTATAATGCCAATATCGAAAGGAACCGAGATCTGTGGGATATAAACTATATTTCAAGTTTCGTCAAAATCGGATAAAAATTGTGACCTGTGTAGTGTCCACAAACAAACTGAGGACGGACAGGGGCGACCACATGAAAATATATGTCCCCATGAAAATGTCGGCGTAATTATATATAAAAACTACAGACTCTATCGAGTTTGCAAGATTTTCGGAAAAGGGGGCATAGAATGAAGGTCGTTGAATGCTGATGATCGTCAACAGAGAACGATTAAAATCGATAATTTCATTCTCTCGTGTCTACTATCAGGGGCGCTTACTTGGGTCTTATTAAATCCAAGCCTGCACACACTGCGTCGTAGATCAAACAGTCGGGCACAGTGTCATTAAAGAATTGGCCTTTGGATCCTATGTCACCCTACATATTTAGAAACCATTCACACTGCTCGATCGGCTTTGCGAAATATATAAATTGCAGGCTTCTACGACAATGACCAAAGATGAGCACTAAGAATACATCATTGACTGGTGTTCAAAACTGTAATAATATTTCAGGCACCGTTGGGTGTTGCCCAAAATTTCTTCCTGCTCAGAATTAGTTATAAATAGAAAGACAGCATGGCCATATGGAAAATGAATATGAATCACTATAATTTATGGCGATATGTGTGCCAGAATGCAGACAGTTTGACGAAAGTCAAATTGCGACCACTCCCGCCTGTCTATTTATTTGTCTGTAAATATAGTCCAAACAATTTTTTAGAGAATAATCAAATTTTCAGGACGTCACAATTCATGACGGTGGGTGTGGTCCATGAATTATTTTGAAGCTGGGTGTGGCTAATGGCAAGCTAGTAACATTATGGAAATTATACATATTTCTCTATATCAGATTATATTCTTAATCTACTGGGGAAAAACGTTTACTAATCCCATAACCAGCCCCCAAATTCTTGATTGCCAATCAGTAAAGAGTACATCGAACCTTATAAGAATATTAATGCCTGCAATATTAAAATCTTTTATTCACTGCAAGCTCCTTTACATAATCTTTTAATCACTCTGTCTCCTTTAATCAATTAAGTTACCTGGCAACATGATTTGCAAACTCTACATTTATGTTTTAAATGATTAGGATTTGATTCTACTTTAGATAATTTGATATTAAATGCAGTAAACAATCTATCTCTTAAAGGAGCTAAATCGCTAACATTTGGGACCTAGAAATTGACAAAAGTAGGTCGCAGCACATATAATACTGTAGTATGAATGTATATAAACTGACTTACATTCAATGGTTTCCGTTTCTACTCCAATTTCAAATCAGTTACATTCGGCGAAAAAAGCCAGCAGTCTCAAGCGAGTGCAAATTTCTAGCGTCTGGTTATTCCAGTCTACATACGCCGTTTGATTTGGTGCAATGTGTCTAGCCTCGTCCCTCGAGTCTCTTGATACAACTGGGGCTGAAGCGCATTATGGTACACGATTCGTGTACCAATGGTAAAATGTTTATTTTGTCTTAAATATTGGATATCAAAAGCCCATCTTTTTCCGGTAAAGATCACAACACGAATGTTGATTTAATTTGGCAAATAAATCCTGTTTTCAATGTTGAAGATTTTGGATGATATTGAGTTAGAGACTTAGCTACTTTAAATAAAGATAGGTTGCCAGGCAACGAAACATACACCCAAAGCAGCTAAATCCTCTGGACAGTCAACAAGATTTTTTGAAGTGATCAAGTAGAACAAAGGCTATCTGATCTTTATGCTATTTTAGATTATGGTGGCGAGAGAGAGAGAGAAATGGGGTTGAACGTCCACTCGACACAAACTAGGTCATTTCGGGACTTACATATGGTTTAATTTTATTTCAATAATTCACTTGCGCGTAGGGGTCTTTAGCAGTGGGAGGAAACTGGAGGACCCGGAAAAAACACACGAGGTTGGACAGGCGACCCTACTCCTTGTCACGTACAACTGGGGATTTGAAACCATGCCAGTTGACTCAATGACAGGCCTTACGATACAGCACGCACGTGCTAACCATTCGGCCATCCAACCCCCCAATATTATGGGGGCATTTGCGAGACATTAAAAACTGATCAAGGGTTACAAGTTGTAACTTACAACCCATGAAGTACATGTAATTATCAAATATAATTTGATTGGTTTCTAGTTTTCCCCAGTCATATAGATATATAATTTGGCCATCTTTTGTCACAATTGTGATTGGGTAACAAAATGGCTTTTTTGTCTACCTTTTTAGCTGTACAATTACATATTCTTACAAACTTAATGCCTCTGACCCACTATATCTGGTGTAAGAGTGGTTTAGAACTACATGTACATGTAAAATTTGATTCCTTTTCAGAGACACTTATTATTTTTATATTTCTTCTTTTCTAATATCGGTCTATAAAACTTACAGACTGGGTAACAAAAGATGGGTTGCCAGATACCAAACACTGTCATTCTGATGGTATGAAAAAAAAAACTCCCAAAGGTTTGATAACATGTTAACGTGCACACTAAGGTACAAAAATTACAATTGCTCACTCTGTCCTGCACCACTAACAAGGGGAAACTAAAAGCGAGGAAGTTTCTTAGCTAATACTGGGATCAAACTCAGGATCTGGACTGAGAGTTCACATAGCATTCTCAGACTTAAGTTAAGAATTTACTCAACTTTCAATCACTGTTTATCAGAAACATTTTTGATCCATAAAATACAAAACATTGCACATAGTTCCTTATTGATGTATTTGCAAATTGATACATTAAAACAACAAAAGTTCTATAAAGGGCTACATTTTAGTTAAAAAAAAGGCAAACAATTTTGAGTAAATTCTTAACTTATGTCGGAGAATAATTTGTGAACTCAGGGCCAGGTTATCTAGGGAGCGAGAGAGAGAAATAGGGTTTAACGTCCACTCGACACAAACAAGGTCATTTCGGGACTAACATATGGTTTAATTTTATTTCAATAATTCGCTTGCGCGTAGGGGTCTTTAGCAGTGGGAGGAAACCGGAGGACCCGGAGAAAACCCACGAGGTTGGACAGGCGACCCTAATCCTTGTCACATACAACCGGGGATTCGAAACCACGCCAGTCAACTCAATGACAGACTTAATGATACAGCGCGCACGTGCTAACCACTAAGCCATCCAACCCCCCCTCATGGGTCCTAGAGTATTTATACTTATCTTTATTCATCCACATCAATCAATAGAGTATGCTGGGTTTTTACTATAAACTATGTTTACAAAATGAGGTTTCAAACTTTCTAATTTTAAAATTAAACATTGACTGTTGTATTTTTGGCCAAGTTAAGGTCATGATAAGATGAATAGAACAAAGGGCTTCCTATTAAAACCTGAGATGTACAAGACGTAATCTTTACAACAACATAATCTCCAGGTAGAATTGGTTTTAGTTCACCATAGCTTGGAAGCTTTATATTTGGAAAAATAACTTTAGTATTTCCATCACTTCTACCAGCTAGGTATTCGGTTGATCGTTTGCTAAAGCCTTCTACTAACACTAAATGTTCTTCCCCAATAGAAGCTTTGTGAAGCTTTAAAAGTATATTTCTAAAAGTTTTAACCAATTCATTTGTTCTCTGTATTTTCACTTCTTTTGGGACATCATCCATCAGTCTATGAAAAGCTCGCGTTTTCTCTCTCATACTGTATGGAAAACAGTAGCAGAACCGGTATTGAACAATTTCCATAAGAGACAAAGTATCTTTATGGGCTTCTTCTGTTTCACCACAAAACCCAGCTATAAAATCACTTGATAAAGACACATCAGGAATAATATCTCTAATATGTGAAACTAATTCAAGATAAGCCTCCCTAGTGTAACCACGCCTCATTTTTTCTAATATTCCACTGTTACCACTTTGTGCCGGCAAATGAATTTGACGACAAATGTTTGGTCTATCTCGAATTAAATACAATACTTCATCGGGAAAATCTTTTGGATGGGGCGACGTGAACCTTATTCGCATTTCAGGATTGTCACTAGACACTTTATCTAAAAGATCAGCAAATCGCAACCCTCCGTGTTTTGATTTGTATACTGTATCAAAGCCGACACTTAAATTAGTTCTACCCCCTGCATTATAGTTTATTGCAGACACATCTCTATAGCTATTGACATTTTGACCTAATAACGTCACTTCCTTCACGCCTTGTTCAGCTAAAGCTTTAACTTCATCTCTAATAGACGATAAAGGGCGACTGCGCTCTCTACCTCTCGTAAATGGCACTATACAATATGTACACATATTGTCACATCCTCTCATAATGGAAACAAAAGCGGAGTTCGAGTCAGTATTTAGGCGCACTGGGGAAATATCTGCATATGTTTCTTCCAGGGATAAAAGTACATTGGCAGCGGATTGGTTTGATTCTGTTGTTACTGTTAAAAGTCTTGGTAGATCTCTATAAGCATCAGGCCCACAAAGCAAGTCCACCATTTTCTCTTTTTCCAAAATTTTTGTCTTCAAGCGTTCTGCCATACAACCTAAAACACCGATTTTTAAGGGTGGTTTTCCTTTCATTTTCTGTCTATTCAGTTTAAATTGTTTATAATATTCTAAACGTTTCCAGATTTTTGTTTCAGCCCCCTCTCTAATTGCACAAGTCATAACCAATATAACATCCGCTTCACCTATTGATTCTGCTCTTTTAAAATTATTGTTTAAAAGAACAGACAGGGCTATTTCAGTGTCATTGACATTCATTTGGCATCCATAAGTTTCAATATAAACTTTTCTTCCTCTTCCATCAAAATACTTTATATCTACGTCACTTTGTATCTGTTGATGATTATTGGTGTAGTCGTCATCTTGCAAACAATCATTTATTTTTATGTTATTTATAGCAGCATTGCCATTAATAAAATCTTGTAAACTTGGGCCAGTTGGTATTTTACTATCGCTACGAGTGCAATATTTCCGATCTACTTTCGGTTTTTGGAAGCCATGTGTTACTTGACATTGAGGACTTACCGATGTCAATGGGAAACAACTTTTAACAGATATTTCTAACAAGGACAGCGGTACCCTCTGTTTAATAATTGGCGTAACACGAAGCATGCTGCGTGCACAATTCACAATCTAAAATAAAACTGTCATTATTTGCATAACCTGCAAAAGTCCAGTTTTTTTTCTCTCGAACACTGACATTCAGTAACGATTAATCAATGCGCATGTACCAAGAAACCGGATATTCATAGTGATCACGTGATCTTAAACAACGGGAGCTGGGCATAGACATTATTACGTGTATACTGTATGTCCATAGAGTAAAAATAACACTTTAGTATGTCCATGGAGCGGGCCGGTCTGAGGATTCGAGCACGCAAAATTGGCAGGGGCGAAATACCACGCTCGCCTTACTACTTCTATATAGACACACGAACGCTGTTTCGGTACCACTGACTATTGTCATACTCGTACTACTACGCAGTGACTTACTTAGTTAGATCTAATTAATAAATTATAGGGATTTTACATTATATAAATAAAGCTAATTTTGCAAATTATGTTGATCATTTAATCAATTTTGATGTTTTTATGGGCAAATTACCCCCTGCCAATGGACATATTATTATAATTGGTATTGGAAGCAATAGCCATATTAAAGCTCCATGAACCAGTTTTCCCATGAGCACCACGTACCCAACTCACATTAACCCTCCGTAAATGGAAAAAAATAAAAAGAATCTGTAGGCTGTGACTTCATTTTAGTAGGTGTTTTTTCCCTAATTCATGTGTTTACTTCATGATCGGTTAGCCCCAAAAAACCTGAATATTCACCTAAACCTGCAGAAAATATACATATGTTTTTTCCAGGGGTAAAAGTACATTGACAGCGGATTTGTTTGATTCTGTTGTCACTGTTAAAAGTCTTGGTAGATAAGCATCAGGCCCACACAGCAAGTCTACCATTTTCTCTTTTTTCCAATTTTTTTGTCTTCATGCGTTCTGCATAACATACTACAAACTAAAACACCGATTTTTAAGGGTGGTTTTCCTTTCATTTTCTGTCTATTCAGTTTAAATTGTTTATATTATAATATTCTAAATATTTCCAGATTTTTGTTCCAGCTCCCTCTCTAATTGCACAAGTCATAACCTATATAACATCTGCTTCACCTGGCACTAGTGGCAGATAAATTCAAACACTCTTCTTCGATCATATACCAAAAAGTCAACAAAAATTCCAATCCCCACTCCCTCCCAAAATATTTGTCTATCATAAAATCAGAATTCAGGGGAAACAATTACAAGTCTGATTTCTATTTGGAAAAAAATAGTACTGGTAACTTTTAAATATTGTTTATTGAACTAGTGTCTAGCGTCTAATAAAACAGGAGCCGCAGTGGCTCAGTAAGGCATTAGCTCGCTACCCAGGAGGTCCAGGGTTCCATCCCGTTGCCTGACAAGAAACAGCATCTAGTTGTTTGAATATAAAAAATTAAATCGAGGTTCTGCATACACATTGACGTGCACATAAAAGAACCATTGACATTTGGAATTCAATTGCTGTCTGGGCAAAACTTCTCCCACACTGTATGATGTATACCCATCTTCATTAGTCTGGTTGGAGCAGAAAAGTAGCACACTAAACCCCATTTTATTTTAATAAAAAACAAAAATAGAATTCATAATATTCCCTTCATTTCATTTCCATTATTTCTTCTAATTACTTTTTAAAAAATCCAACTGTCAACTTTTTCAGTTATTTCTCAAAATTATTTGCGACACAAAGTCATAAAATTAAAATGGAATGATTAAAATAAAAACATATACACCATATCTATCAATAAAAACCAAAATTTATTCACTCCAATAACTTTAACTTTAGTATTTTTTAAAACCAAATTTCAAATTTTGTAACAGGAAAAAAGAAATGGTCCATCAACTAGTTTTCTGTCTTTTTTTATAAGCTTTAAGATGGTTTCCACCATGATTTGACTGGCGTATTTTATCATACATGAAACAAAAGAAAAACAATAGATTATCATACTGTCCATCATACACTGAGGACAAACATAGGTTATGATAATCACACACAAAATAATACAAAGCTTCTATAGTGGATAAATATTCTTCAGGATTTCCATCATGATTCCTCCAGAACTTAGTTTTCCGAGATTTTAGCTCCACTCTTGTTATATCTGCAGGAGAAAAACACATTACATGGTTAGAAATTAATGATAGTAATCTAATATATATTTAATAAAAAATGTCAATTTATTCAACATGTATTACAAAATACTTATTCCCTTCAACTACTATATAATCAGACGATACTTACATGTATTTACATTCTGTTTGTATTCACATCTGATCAAATATATAAGTTCTTTCAATCACATATCCACCCAAAAAAATATTTTGTGTTACTCAATTGAAATAATCAACTTTGATATGATTGTCAGCTCCACAGGCCTTACCATTTATTGATAAGTTGCAACCATGCTTTTCAGTTCAAACTAAATGTGTCATTTTGACAGTAATTATGAGTCTTCGACCTGACAACTGTGCTCTAATCATGTTTCTATTTGTAAAAATAGATTGTTTTTCTTTTGTGTTTTCTTCATACTGGTAGTCTGGTACTGGTGGCACAAAGTACTAAATTTCTGGTAGAACTTCAATGATTTCTGACATTTTGTCAGCTACAACTAATACCATTTACTGTCTGTTCCAGGTGATACTCCGACTCGAAAATTGCTTGTCATTTCTTCATTTTTTAATTAAAATGGCTAAAACTTTGTGACATACCTGGAATTTTCACCCCTTTGATTTCTTCCCTTAGCCTAAACCACTAGAAGAAGTCTGATAAAATCCAGTATACCCTTGCAAATTTCACATATTTCGACATTGTCTCTTTCTCATAACATACACATTACGACTAGGACTGCGTTAAATGGAACACTTGCATATCACATTTGGGTAGACAGGTATTTTACAAATTGGGTGCATTCGGTTAGAAATGTTTAGTGAAGGAGAATTTGCCCGTTTGTTTCGTAACAGTAATACTTATTTGGGTTTCACACTGTGAAGCTAATGTTAAACAATATTGCTTTTGTTCGGATTAAAATGTTTTTTTCTGTTTATGCCTTGCTTATTTTGCAGAAAAATGCTTATTCGATCACTTGGAGTGACATAAAGATTAAAGCTATTTTGAAAAGTCGGCACATGTCAGAACCATGCAAACTCTCCGAAATAAGTAGTTTGGTGTTAAAGGCATGGTCTTATTTAAATTTGAATAAATGTATTATGTAAAATGATTCAGAAGTTTGTTTTTTAGACTTTATAGCTCTGTTTGAGAGCAAAGTTTGGGAATTTTGCTTGAAACTTCATGATAACATGTATGTACTGATCAGCTATCAATACATATCAAACATAAATTTACTTAAATTATCTTCCGTCCTAGATATAGCTTTTGTGTATAAACTGGGTAATTACTATCCAACTGACTCAGAATTAACAGTATTCTGAGAAAACGTGCATTTTTTTTACCTTTTCGGAACAATTTTGTTGGTTAAAATTTAGCTGCCCTTTTAAATGGGCAGAGCAAGATGTAAGCTACGGGCCTGAGGCTGAGACATAACTATTTTCAAAGGCATATAGAGCAAATGAAAATCCATAATTCATTTTTGACATTTCAAGGAAATAGGCAATTTTGTGTAATCAATTTTCAAGTTTTTATGTCGATAAAAGAATAAATGATACTTCGATTTTTATTGCCCACGACACATTTATTTATAGTTTAATAGACATTTTATCGCCATTAAATCCAAAATTTCCAGTATTACAGGAAGTGACGCGATTACAAAAAAAAGAAACTATATTTGTTCTAAAGATTGTTATTCGCTACCCTTCACTAAAACTATTTACTAACTTCCTTTAACTAATAGTTTGTTGATATACGACCATGATGGTATCATAAAACAATTTTTAACTTTGTCCTTTGCTGAGAAATAAATGAATTGTATGCAAATATATATTCAGGCAGATATCACAAAATAATCTCCAACTTTATCCATTGACCGGGAGCCCAGGGGGTCAACCTAGCTTAAAAGTGTACCAATTTTCTCCTATATGGTATCAATGTATGTATATCTAGTATCATCAGAATGTAAGTCTGCTGGGTTTCTGGTGGTGGGTGTGGTATTCCACGCCCTAAATGCCATGACCCTCAACTAGGCTAGATTAGCTCAAAAGTGTACCGAATGAATTTCGTACAGCAGTGTACCGTACATCTTCAGGTATTACAACCAGCGGCTGCCAGGCAGGATACGCCCATATTTTCGAGAGATGGATAGAAAACAAGCTAAAACAAAAGTGATTTTTCCTACAATCGAGGGCCATAATTCAGGAAATTACAATTTGATATGCGCAAATATCGAAAGGAACCAAATAAACTTACATTTCAAGTATCAACAAAATCGGATAAAAATTGTGACCTCTATAGGGTCCACAACCTTGATATACCATATTTTTACGCAATTTGAGAACAAGGGGTGGCCATTTTGTCTGTCAGTTTTGGGCCGATTTTCACGAAATTCGAACTTAGTCGTCCTTAGGGTGTAACAGTGATATAATAATACGTTTTTTTAAATCGGATAAAAATTATGACCTCTATAGGGTCCACAAGCTAATAACGCGATTTTTCGTACAATCAGGTTGCCAGCTGGATCGGTCGAATAGGTCGCTAGCCGAATAGGTCGCCAATTTGTGTTCGGTTAATATCTGTCACTTGCCAGCTATCACGTGATGTAAACAATTAGCCATGTGGCTTAAATTGTGTCACAGTGTCCAGTTTAGAAACTTAATTTACACAAACGCGTTGTATATTATACCTTCAAAACACCGTAAGTTCTTGTTCTTAATATCCTAATAAAGATTACCTTTCATCAGATTTTCTGCCAAACGGCAAAACGATCACAAAATACAGCGCTAAACTTACTCCAAATTTGTATGTTTACTATAGTGACCAGTGAGCGTGTCGAACCAACTACGTTACTTCCGGTATTAATAAAAATTAATTTCTCGCTTACAAATTATTTTTGGGATATGTTATAGGAGGGATTATTTCTAAATATATATTTATTATTTATGGAAACCTTATTGAAAATCGTTGGTCTTCCCCTTTAAATTGGATAAAAATTATCGAAAGGAACCGAGATCTTTGGGTTATAAACTTACATTTCAAGTTTCAACAAAATCGGATAAAAATTGTGACCTCTATAGGGTCCACAACCTTGATATACCATATTTTTACGCTATTTGAGAATGAAGGGCGGCCATTTTGTCTGTCAGTTTTGGGCCGATTTTCACAAAATTCAAACTCGGTCGTCCTTAGGGTGTAACGGTGATATAATAATACGTTTTTTTAAATCGGATAAAAATTATGACCTCTATAGGGTCCACAAGCTAAAAACGCGATTTTTCGTAAAATCAGGGGCCATAATTCAGGAAGTTATGTTCTGATATGCACGAATATCGAAAGGAACCGAGATCTTTGGGTTATAAGCATACATTTCAAGTTAAAACCAAATTGTGACCTCTACAGTGTTCACAAGCCAAAAACGTGATTTTTCGTACATCAGGAGCCATAATCCATAAAGTTACGGTCCGATACATGCCAATATCGAAAGGAACCAAGATCTTAGGGTGATAAACCTATATTTCAAGTTTCATTGAAATTGGATAAAAATTGTGACCTGTAGACTGTTCACAAACAATTGTGGACGGACGGACAGGGGGGACGACAATATACGTCCCTATGAAAATGTGGGCGTATAAAAACACTCTGACAGACATTTCTAGTGGTGGGGTACCCCTGACAGAGCTATATAATTGCCAGACATTTGAAGTGATGGAGTATCCCTGACAAGAGTTATCTAATATTTAGACCAAAGCTAGGCTAGATTAGCTCAAATCTGTACCACCTAAAACAGCTTTGGAGTTGTTCAGTTTTAAAGAAAAGATTGCCTACATTCTAAATATACACATAAATTCTGTGCACAGGGCTCTACAAAACCGGAAAGCAAATTAAGGACCGTTTAAAACTGTTTACCAAAATTAGATAAATTTGACCTGACCAGTTAGAGACCATCCACAAACTACACGGTAATGGCTAGTACATGTATGTAAGTGAATTTCTTTTAAACAACCACCTACACATCCAAGTAGGGCGAAACGACTTTAAAGCCAACCCAGCACCCCTTGTCTGCTTAGTCTCTTCCAGATAACTAGGCCAAACATGACTGTTTTCAGTACCAAGATGTCAACAAACCACGATTTTTCAAGGGAGAAAAGCTATATAGCTTGGTCTGAACTTAATTCTAAGACAGAAAGCAATGGGATGACCAATCCAGGTACTTAACAAAGTTTTAGCCATTTCAAATAAAAATTGAAGAAATGGCAAGCAATTCTCGAGTCGTGGTATCACCTGGAACAGACAGTAATAATTTTCTAACTGTACGCCAAAATCAGAGCCTATTTAAACGAATGTTCCCCAAGAATGGTTTCATATTTACATCAAGCTAATTATGTTATTACTTAAAGACTTGATTAGGTTTTCGTGTGTGGAATTTTAAATTATGATATAGATAGGCAATAGCAAGAATCTTGGAAACTGAAACTAACCTTTTAATCTTTCATCATTTGCTATAGTTGATGTTTGATTCCATGTTGAATCTATGAAAATGACTTTATCAAATTTTGGTGTATGAAGTGATCTAGATTGTTTTACACTACTTTCTTCTAGTTGTGATTTGTGGCCTTCAGATGTTTCATGACTTTCATGGCATCTTTTAGTGCCGATTTTCACCAAGTTCTCAGTGGATTTAATATGGCCATCATACTTTACATCAGTACTTTGCTCACTATTAATAGTCTCAGGGAATTTGTCTTTGTCAGTTTGTGATTTACCATCATTTGCAGAATCTATATTAGGCTCTAACTTTGAATCACAACTATCAGTTACTACAGATATTTCTGGCAAGTCTATGTCTCTATTTAAGACCAAACTATTTAACGACACTGCAGACGGTCCAGGAAATATTAGAATAGTCTGAAAGAAAAACGCAGAAATACTTCAAGTCTGATGTTATTACAAGTCATTTATACAATTCAATATGCTAGTTATTTACTAAATGATCAAAAATTGATTTTGTTTGTCAACCAAATTGTAAATGAAGCTCATTGAAAGCACAATAAAACAAAATTTGCCATGCGACTTAAAATTATGCTTAAAGGGATAATCCTGAAGTCTGACAACCATAATTATCTCCCTTTGATGATAATTAAACTCTGTGGTAATACAAGTCTATTTTGTTACTAAATTAGTGTCATGGCATAGGAGTGAATGACAGTATCTGAACAATGAAAGTATCCCATAATATCCAATACCAATGTCCAGTTTGGTACGACTGGGAAATCATGCAATAGGCTACCGATCGAGAGAAGATAAAAGTCTACTATTTTAGAAATTTAAATCAAGACTACAAGGATTATAAAAGACTGAATGATCTAAACTAGTAACCCGTTTTCATGCTAAAAGATGAAGTAGCACACATGGGAACAAAATATCACTATAAAGTTTTCTGTAGGCATATAAAATTAAAGGAGATACTTCTTTGAAATAAAAAATTAACAGTATTCTAATATACCGTACTATTGTATAACCTGCTTGATTTAATACATCAAAACCAAGATCTTGTTTAAGTCAGTTTCTTTTGCATTCATTCATGAAATATCATGTACAAAAATGATCATCGTACGGTCAAGTAAATGAACTGATTTTAGTGTTTTGTCAATACAATACTTCAGCCATTTTTGTCATTTTTATACGCCCACATTTGTTTGTGGCCACTCTACAGGTCACAATTTTTATCCAATTTTGACAAAACTTTAAAGATCTTGGTATGTATCGGACCAAACTTCATAGATTAAGGTCCCCGATTGTTCGAAAAATCACGTTTTTAGCTTGTGGACACACTTATCGGTCACAACTTTCACATGATTTAGATGAAATTTGAAATGCATTTTTATAACCCAACGATCTTGGTTGCTTTCGATATTTGCGCACATCAGATCTTAACTTCCTGAATTATGACCCCTGTTTGTACGAAAAATCGTGTTTTTAGCTTCTGGTCCCTCTAGAGGTCTCAATTCTTATCCGATTAAAAAAAAGAAACTTGAAATACATGTTTATAACCCAAAGTTCTTCGTTTCTTTTGATATTGGCGCATTTTGAATCGTAACTTCCTGAATTATGGCCCTTGATTGTACGAAAAATCGCGTATTTAGCTTGTGTTCCCTCTAGAGGTCAAATTTTTTATCTGATTTAAAAGATTGCTTGCCAGGCAACAAAACATACGCCCACAACAGTTAAGTCGGCCGGGGTATCAACAAGGGTTGACGCATATATTTTTTTTGTCAGAAATGAAAACATTTACAATACACTAAAATCTGATTACAAGTAACAACCCACTTGGCTTCTAGTTCTGCCCTATTCTAACGTTTAGCATACAAAACATATAATATCAATTTCCGTTATATCATTGGAAATTGTTGAAAATTGACAGAGGGCAAAGGCCACAACTCTGGCAGTAATTATCGGAAATTGTTGAAAATCAATAGGCTTCTTCATCTCATGACCTTAGACACTGTGTATAAATGATTGACTTTAGTCTCTGGGGCGCCAACAAGATATTTCAAAGTGATCAAGGGCCATACCACTGGCAGTAATTATCTTAAATCGTTGAACATCAATAGGCTTCTTCGTCTCATGACCTTAAACACTGTGTATAAATTTAAAGTCAGTCGGATATTAACTTTAGCCTGTAGAGCGTCCATAACTCTGGCGGTAATTATCGGAAATCCCTGAAAATCAATAGGCCTCATCTCATGACCTTAAACACTGTGTATAAATTTAAAGTCATTTGGATATTAACTTTAGCCTCTAGAGCATCCACCGGACCGCCGTCCAGATGGACATGGGGCGACGACAATATATGACCACATTTCAAATTGGGCATAAAAAAAACATTTGAATATATCACCGTTTGACCCTAATAATGGTTGAGTTCGAATTTTGTAAAAATTTGACCCAAATTGCTGGACAAAATGGCCACACCTTGTACGCAAATAGTGTAGAAAGTATGTAATACCAAAGTTTTGGACACTCTAGAAGTCACAATTTTCATCCGATTTTGATGAAACTTGAAATGTATGATCATAATCCAAACATCTTTGCACATATTGGACCGTAACTTCCTGGATTATGGCCCCTGATTGTACAAAAAATCATGTTTTTAGCTTGTAGACCCTCTAGATGTCACAATTGTTAGCCGATTTTAAAAAACGTTTAAACATATCACCATTACATCCTAATGACAGTTGAGTTCTCATTTCGTAAAATTAGACCGAGACTGCCTGACAAAATGGCCGCTCCTTGTATGCAAATAGAGTAAATATGTAATACCAAGGTTGTGGACCAGAAGTCACAATTTTTATCCGATTTTGATGAAACTTAAAATATATCTTTATATCCAAAATAACACAATCTCTTTTGATATTCACACACTTCAGACCATAAGTTCCTGGATTAAGGTTCTGATTGTCTGATAAATCGTTTTTTTTAAGTGGGGTATCTTGCCTGGCACAACCGCTGGTAATTTTTATGTAATAATAGAGAGAACTAACTGTCTGTGGATTATAATCAGGAATACAGGGATATTCATATAATGTGACATCATCTGGAGCCAATACTGCTGCATGAGGTGAAGTACTTTTACCATCACATTCACTTGGATGCTTTATAATGTCAATCTTTATTGGTAGCTGGAAATACAGATGTATTAATTATCATGTTCCAATTTTTACATTAAAAATATAAGAAATCATGCTGTTTTTACATGGATGGGGAATATTTATTGTACAATAGATATTAAAGAAAGTGTTTACTGTCTGAGCCATCTACTTTATAAATCATAAATTTTGATTTACTTCAAAATTGTGTAATAAACAATTGTAAAACTCTTTCCCCAACACTAGTTCAAAAATGACCACACAAAAAAATATTCCAACAAATTAAATGTTTCTCTTGTAACATCCTAAATTTTCCTCATAAATAAATGTAAGCAACCCGGATCACACCGAATACCTGACAGCCCATGCCAAAGACAATTCATCCCAATATAATAAGACAATGCATACAAAGTTAGAAGACAACTCATCCAATTTATAGAAGTGTAAAAAAAAATGTACAGCAATTCAGAAACTACAAGGTAATCTTTGTCTCAAGTAGGCACCGTCAAGGACAACTACGAGAATATATGCAATCCACAGAATGATCATTTCAGATTAAGGTTTTTTTTCCAGTTTTGATGACTTCAAATAAAAATTCCTGTTAAAATTAAAATTGTGTATGACATTATCAACGCTTCACGGTTCAAACGGTTTTGGTAACCTATGTTGATCTGCTTGGGCAAATGGGGCTCAGACTCAGAGGCCCAAGGGCTTATCCAATAGTTCAGCTCATAACACTCGCCTAGAAATGATTCCACTACTGATGTCTTCCGCCTTACTCCAGCCACAGAAGTGGCTCGTCCTACGGAGTTCCTTTGCGCAAGTTTTTTAGTCAAATGACTACAAAAAGGTTACTGGCCTATAGCTCCCTTAATTTACATATAAACTGACCCAAAACTGTACTGCACATAGCTTAACATTGATAAACCAATTCCTATTGAATGAAGCCTTACCGCATAATTATATGATATGAAACCTAACTGCTACGCGAAATTTCTCGACTACCGAACTTATTTCAACTGGCCAGCATGGCGGCTTTTACATTATAAGAAACATTGCTTTGGAAATGTAGAACGCATTACCACAAAGAAAAACTGTTCGGTAACTATTTTAGTGGTCTTCACTATTTGTGATAGAATTACTTATTTCAAACTGTAATGATATGTGTTGACAATTGTGCGTTTGAACCTATTTAAACTTACGTAAGGAGTCTTAGACTTTATCAATTGTAGCGTTGAACTGTGTTAAACGATACATAATAATTGTAGCTATACACGCGCCCTGTACCCGGCGAGTGTAAGGAGACCTACGCTCAGAGCTGAACTACTTTTCCCATGACAACTTTTTTGAAATAAACTAAAATACACATTATTTCCATTTTATTGAGTAGGCTGATTATATTAGTAGGCTAACAACAGTACGTGCTCATACGAAAAACGAATTAACGCTGGTGTCTAGTGTAGTGGTATTCATACAGTGACTGAGTGAGTTACATTCATTATAATCTGTCAACAACTAACGGGGCGACGACATCAGTATGGACAATCCACCGTTTTTACTTCTTCAATTTGTACGTTTGACATGTAAATTGTAAACCTAACCCTAACAAGATATTTTCCAGATCGGCCAAGATCTAGTAATTGTGCGGACTAAAGATCAACCTACTTTCACTTTAGGAATGTGGTTAATCAAGCTTTGCACTGGCACAAAACAAGTATAGCAGTAGAATTTTCTGGATCTCCCACATTTAGAGCATTCGCTTCTCCCATTTGCAGTATTTAAAATAGAAAAATCACTAATTCTTAAAGCAGGGAATGGGTTTTCTTCCATTTTCTAACTATTTTAATAGCCTACAGAAATTAAGCCCTAGGAAAATTTTACAGAGTTCTCTCCCCGGAAATAGTAATGACTATTGTGTAAAAGAAGGACTTGGGCTATACCAATAGTAGGGAAGCTAGCTGACCGTTGCTCCTAAACTCGCGGACAAAATTGGCACTATGCCTAACGGGGGCACCATCATGACCGATGATCAGAATGGGAATGTTAAGTTGCACATCCCTGGAGTTAGGGGCTGTCCGCTGTACGCCCCCGAAATCTTGGATTTAAAGGAGCTAAATCGCTAACATTTGGGACCTAGAAATTGACAAAAGTGGGCCGCAACGCATATAATACTGTAATATGAATGTATATAAACTGATTTACATTCAATGGTTTCCGTTTTTACTCCAATTTCAAATCAGTTATGTTTGGCAAAATAAGCCAGCAGTCTCAAGCAAGTGCAAATTTCTAGCGTCTGGTTATTCCAGTCTACATACGCCGTTTGATTTGGTGCAATGTGTCTAGCCTCGTCCCTCGAGTCTCTTGATACATCTGGGGCTGAAGCGCATTATGGTACACGATTCGTGTACCAATGATAAAATGTTTATTTTGTCTTAAATATTGGATATCAAAAGCCCATCTTTTCCGGTAAGATGACAACATGAATGTTGATTTAATTTGACAAATAAATCGTGTTTTCAATGTTGAAGATTTTGGATAATATTGAGTTAGAGACTTAGCTCCTTTAATTCAAATTTTTGCGGACAAAGTTAATCTTTGCTACATGTGTTTACGTTGCTAAGGCAAACTTGAAAAGTGCCCTTCAGAACAAAAAATCCCCTGGCTTCAGAACGCCCCCTAGTGACCCGGGTACGTAGGTTTATTTCAAAATATGACGAACAACTTTGATTCCTTTTTCACCTGATAGGGTGTGGTCCCAAAGTAAATAAAACACAACTTCAGAACAAATAATCCCCTGGGTTCCTACTCCAGAACGGGTTCCAAGCTGAACACATCACAAAATCCCGGTAGAACTTGTAGAAAACTGATTTGTTTCAAGTATGGCGGACAAAATTCTTCTTTCGTGAGAATGGTGCCACAATTGATCTATAAATATAAAGTGCCCTCCAGAAAAGAATATCATCTGGTTCAAATGTTACAGACAACTTTGATTCCTGTTTCAGCTGATCGGGTATGGCCCCAAAGTAAATAAAACACCACTTCAGAACAAACAATCCCCTGGGTTCCTTCTCCAGAACCGGTTCCAAGTTGAACACATTACGAAATCCCGGTAGAAGACTGATTTGTTTCAAGTATGGTGGACAAAATTCTGCGTTCGTGAGCATGGTGCCACATTTGACCTATAAAAAAGTACCCCCTGGTTTCTACACCTCAGAACTCCCCCTATTGACCTCAATAGACATGTTTATTTCAAATATGACCGACAACCTTGATCCCTTTTTCAACTGATAGGATATGGTTCCAAAGTAATTTTAACACACAGATCATTGCTACGATAGATGCGTAACGAAGATTTCAAGAAATGGAAGTGAAAAAAGCAAAAGGAAATCACGAGCTTTTCTCACTTCCATTTCTTGAAAGCAAAAGGAAAACACGAGCAATAACTTCAGACAGTTTTATAGAAGGATAACTCGTTTTTTCCTTTTCCTTTTTTCACTTCCATTTCTTGAAATCTTCGTTACGCATAATATGTCATATAGGAAGAATAACAAAGAATTTATCGTTCCATAAATATTGGCTATCCCAACGTGTGACATCAGGTCAGTTTTAATAATGATAAAAAATGACGTGTCGTCTGCCAAACAGCACTGATAGTTTACTTTCATGTTGAAAGAGGTCACGGTCTTTCATTTCATGAAACAAATCAAATGATTATTGCTATCGGTCAGCAAATTTAATAATTTCATTGAAATGTAAGACATATTATTCTGTGTTTTGTAAGGCCTTAAAAGCCAGTTTCATTTCATTTGATTTATACCGGTATGCACAATATTTTCTGTTAATTTTCGGGGAATGTGAAGGGCTGTTTTAATCTTCAGATTTCTATGTGAATGGAATTTCGAGATACGTTGTCAGTACTATAAAGTAGACCTACATATAATCACCAAGATTATTACAAGTCAATATTTATTTATTACTGAAAAAATAAATATCAAGCCTGGGGTGGAATGATGTTTTTTCTTTCTATACACGAAGTATAAATAGTAAATCTTTCAAAAGTTAAAATTGTAATGTGAACAGTTAATCAATGTTGAATACATATTTAACTTTTAAACCTGTCCCAGATGGCTGTAGAAGACACCTACGGAACTTAGAAGTTCAAGGAATTTGGGATGGGGTAGTGTACGTGTGTTTTGTTAATATTTATTGGGCCCACAAGTTAATGTTCGGACCCACAACTTTCATGAATGGCGTCTACCAGCGGGTCCTGTTGGCTTACAACTTTTCTTGTCGAATTTTAAAAACTGCAGTCAATATACAACTGATTTGTGATTTTTCTGTTTGCATATTGTCCGGAGTGTCTAAAAATATGTCCCTTGATATAAGCTAAGTTCTATTATGCATTTGTCTATTATGCAGAATGGAGAAGTGTAATGTGCAAAATAACTATTATACTGTATTTGTATCATTGGAAAATGTATTCTGTATTTTAACACAGAGACATTGGTATTGTGGAGCAATGAAATTGCAGATTGTGAAACCAAAATACGTATTTTGAACTGCTGAAATATGCAGTTTGAACAGTGAACATTGAAATAATATTGGTAACGGTATCCTTCCATAGCTTGTACTACAATGTTAACAGCCATAATTTCAAATTTAATAAAAAGTTAATTTAATTTTACTCTTTGAAATCGCCTCGTTGTAACATCTAAAAAAATCGGTTTTCAGTTGCATAATATGAAAGCTAAGAAGATATGAATTAATTCCATAACTAATAACAGTTGTACATTGTACAATAAAATATCAATAAATAATACAGTGGAATGGGTTATTTTTTATTATTAAGTGTACAATACGCCTGGTTTATATCGTCTGTACAAATTTGACCAGGTACAGTGTTAAAGAAGTATGAAGTGCCAGTACAGACACCTGGGACCTGGGCACCATTTATGCACCGCATATATTCTGTACATGAACCTCTTACAGGAATATAGGAAAAGTTGATTTTTCCATTACAACTGTATGGATCACTTGCTAAAACAAGAAAACATATTTTTTGTGTAAATAGTTATACAAATCACCCGTCAAGAATATGATTTACTCCGCCATATTAAATTTTATTGATATTCAAATTATTAGAAACTGTTCAGCATTTGAAATTAATAATTTATAAAACACCATTGTTATCAGTACAGTTCCAGAGAGCTTAGGACTACAACTTATCCAGTCATGCTGTATACATGCGTTCGTTCGTTCTTAGGGCCACTCCCACCATGGGTGATATCGTAGACAATTGTAGACACTGTAGATACTGTACCAAGGTCATATTTAGATTAAAATACTGTTAATTTCATTTACTTTGGTAATAGGGTGCAATACGCATTGCGTGAGAAGAGAAGTTTGTCCGGGCAGAATTCCAACAGCCAAGATTTCGCTCACGACCATCTTTTGCCCATCTAATTATCTTCCCATAAATATTAGAAGCCGGTTAGACGTATACCAAATCAGGGTTTTAAGCAAATGGGACCTACTTGTGTTCTCTAGCTATCCATCTATCGTGGAGGAAAACGCAGGCTTTTTTAAACATGCATTATGCAAGAGCTAAATCTGCCTATTTCAGGTCTTTCTTTAGGCCTGAAATGTTATCTAAATTATTAATTAGACATTAATTAACCTATCCAGGCCATAATCAACTCTAGATGTCAGCGCTAGCCTGCGATATTTAGTGGATTGTAGGCCGATTTACTGCATAACTTCCCTTCTCTATTAAACGATTAAATGGATAATCGAGACTATGCTGTTTATCGTACTGACTTTAGTAATGAGGCTTATGGGAATTTCAGTCGCTTAGTTTTCGGTTCATAGTGGATCAATTTGAATGAAATTTTCACCAAAATTGCCTTTACATTATTTAGTTTTTAACTATTATAGTGAGAACTTCCAACTCGTCACCGAATCTCCCATAATGTATCTTTAACTAACAAAGTGTTAAATTTCGATTTACAAAAAGAAGGGCCGAGACATTGTAAAACAAAACTCACTTTGACTTGGAGCCATTGTTGTGGTAGCAGCTGTAATATATAAGATATATTATATATTTCAATTGAAATGTTGCTACTTGGGTCGGCATGGTGTTTGAATAGTTTTGGTTTTGTGTTTGCTTCCTTTTTTGTTTTTTGTCGTCTATTTGGTGTTTTTTTTTTTGGGGGGGGGGAGGCGGTTGGTGACTGGACCCAACCCGAAGAACATTGTGAAATTGCGCCAAATAAAGCGAAAATATTAAATATGCTTGATGGGGCAAACTATTCCATTATCTCAGAACGAATGTCCCCACGCTCGTACACGACCGTATAAAGTACTTATTATAGATCTAAAAACAGATTGTGTCTACCAACTGGAGGAAAGATCAAATTTTGTTTGCTGAATTGTATCTGTATACCTTCTGCCACTGAATACCGAACACCAACTTTTCCATTGATGACGTGGGTAGAGAGATCGGATAAATCTAAATTAATTTCAATCCATTTTCCAATTACCTCTGGGTTGAGTACATGATTGACTTGCTTCGTTGAAACAATAAACTCCAGCTTTGTTACAATTGTTTATGTAAATGATACCATTAAAACACTGGATATATTGGTAACAGTCATTATACGGATGATCATACAAACCATCGGTCTTGTTAGAGCAATAATCACCTTATTAAAAAGAAAGAACATTAATTTATATGAATTTTCTACTGTACATAATCCACAGTAAATTATAAGATTCTGGCTATATTGCCGGCCCTAAGTTTTGATGGAAAGCAAAGCGTGGTATGAAATCAGAAAAACTCAAGAGAAGGTACTTGGATAACTGTCTTATCGCGGACTTAATGGCTGG